TTGCATGCAATAAAATCCACAAGAACCACAAAATTATTCAACTTGACAAGAATATCATGTAAAAAAAGATTTTCATTTTTATATATATTAACTCAGAGAACAGAAATGGCTTTGATACATAAGTCAATAGCTGGTGAAGAATAGGATATTAAGATAAAAGTGTGATTTTCTCATTGATTATTTAATGTCATACTTGGATACAGATCGAAGTCATAATTTCTCGCAGCAGATATGACTCATAGTGACACCGCAGTGTCAAGTCTCACACGGTTTAACCGAACAGATCCAAGGATGTATTCAGGCAGTTCATTCTCTTCCTTTGCCTGCAATAAATCATAGATGCTCAGCAAAATATATGTTGCCATGCTTCGTCCAGGAAAGTATTTCATCATTAAGTTAGGACACATGTCATGCAGTTCAAGTTTTTCAAATCAAAATTACTTATAGAAAAGGATAAGTGTTATTTTGTGTTCCTTCTGTACATTTTTCATTATTAAGTTTCTTACGTTAGAATCTTATCTATTGCTCTTCTGCTTTTATAACAATATATGGACTAAGATCCTCTATTCCCTAAAAAAAAGAAGTGAAGGAAAAAAAAGAAAAAAAAATTATTAGTTTGTTAATGGTCACAAATTGATCCTACAACTTTCATAGAATCACTGGACGATATGACATACCAAATTCTTGCTATTTGAAGGGTATATAAATGTTTAAACACAATCAGTGATTTTATTAAATTGCAAGGTAATATCTTATGACAAATCATTGAGTTTCTTCTATTTAAATCTTAATTAAAATTTTAATTAGTTCCTTCTTACTGACCCATAGTGAAAAATATGGTATGGAAGATATAACTAAAGCATGCTTAGAGCTCGCAATGTCTTGACAACTATTTGTACTAAGTTTACTGTCACTATATACAAATAAATTGAAATTGAAATAACAAACAAGTTCAGAGTACATGAAGTTTTCAAAATTCAGAGCCTTGATCAACAAGAAAATTTCATGTTGGCTTTAATTGGCTTTCATATGTGAGTTACAGAACAACATGCTTCTCTTGCTCATGACTGGAAGAACGTTTCAAACCAGTGGGAATCAGTCAATAAGCATTGCTCTAGCATACACATGAATAATAATAATATACTAATTATAAGGTTTGTTAAGACAAATAGTAACAATAATTATAAAGTAGTACGCGGAAAGAACTTAAGGAAAATTCTAAGGAAAATTCTGTGCGTGCATAGCTACAAACTTACTGACCTCAATCAGGATCGCAAGGTCAACAACAAGGCCTGTGATTTTCCCAAGAACTAAACCAACGACGTTTCTTGCAACAGATGAAGATCCAACATTCACATCAATCTGTACAAGTAGACAATAATAAGCAACCAAGAGTGATAATAAGGCAAATCATCATGACAACATGCATGAAACTAAAATACTGAAATTTGATTCCTCTTTCACTGTTAAACATCAAAAAGTTAGTCAACGCATAGTTAATTCCACTCGAAATTATCCAGGTGTGCCTGATTCTTATCCAAGTTACATGATAAAAATGACACCCACACTACACAGAGGAGATGATAACCTAAGGGAATACAATCAAGGCTTAAATCCTATTACCAGAAAGCATTTCTTAAAAGCCAGTACCAGATGCTAAGTTCCCATTAACCCCCTTTTTTTTGGATAATGAAGCCACCGGGAATCAAACTCAAGACCGTGAGAGACATATTGGATCCTCTCAACAGTTCTCATTAACTTAAAGCCACTTTATGTACAGATATGTCTTTTGTTGAGAGAACGTCAAAGACTGCATGTCATAATACATCGCTCCAGGAAAGAAAACCGTTTATTTGATAGCTGAAATAGAGAAAAACACTAGTTGGCAAATGTTTTTCCTCTTTGAAGGCATGTGTTGTAAAAAGGAATCATGGACACGGGCATGACATATGATTACCAGTGTATGGGGGCTAGCTATAAAAAAGTAGCTGGGAAGGCCATATTGATGCCTGGATAAATTGTGTTGGGACCATCAAATTTGTGTTTTTGTATAGTTAATAAGTACATCACGTGTGACAGGTGGGCAATTTCGAAGGCAAGTCATCCAATTTAAAGTGAAAGTATGTTGATAGAAGGAAAATATAGATCCAAGCAAGTACTAGTTATACCTCTAGGTAGTTGTCTTGACGGAGATAACTGCATGTAACTGCTTTTCCTAAGAGGCAGGCTTTGGAGCCTACAGCACATTTGACCATCCAATATCCCTGAATGATTAAACAAGGATATCAGTAGAATCCACCAACCTACGGAAAGTATGAAAACATAACACTGACAAACAGTTCATACCTCTACGATACTTGGTATAAGCTTCAACCTTGAATCTCGAAACGCATCACTTCCATCTACAAATCTACTCAACAGAGACTCTTTGGCTATAGGCCTCTCAGCACCAAAATAAAGGACCAAACTATAGTTTGGTTTTGCAGGGATCTGCAATTCAATTAAATGCCTCAGTAGGTGTCTAAAAATTTCCAAGAACAATATACAAAAGCTGAGGGGTAAAACAGAAAACAATTACAGTTATTAAAAAGACAAGAACTGAAAAATGAATAGACACATTGATAAGATCATCTTATTCATGATTATGTTATGAACCATTATCTTGACACTTAATAAATTTATGGTCAATTTCACATAACCCCTGAACTTTGGGCTGTCTCACAGCTCCAGCTCCCCCGTATTTGGACCTTTTCTTGCCGGACCTCCCTACCTGTATTTTGCAAATAACTAAAATATCCTTGAGAGAAAAAATCTCAAAATTTATCACTTATCATGCACAGGCAACATAAACCCTCCTGAAAAATTTGGAGTTCTTTTCTCTCAAGAAATTTTCTTTATTTGCAAATTACATGTATGGGGGTCCAGTGAGAAAAGGTTGAAGTTCAGGGGGGTTTTGTGAGATACCCCAAAGTTAGGTTTTTCCTTTTTTTTGTGGGGGGTTTGGGGGTTGCAAGTTATGTGAGACAAACAAAGTTCAAAGGGGTTATGTGAAATTAGACCTTAATTTAATAAGGGTTTTTCGTTAGAAACCACCCTAAAAATAGGTTAATCATACGGAAACCACCTTTTTTTTCAACTTAAACCGCCTTTAAAGTGGGTTTTTGTTGTAATCAACCACATCTCAGACAATTTTTTCACTAAAAATCCAAAATTACCCTTTAAAACTCACATTCAAGGCACATGACTCAGTTTTTTAGTGGTTAGGCCTTGCTAGGATATAATTCACATGCATTGAGCTTGAATTTTTTTAAAATTTATTTTTGGTTTTTTAGTGAAAATTTGACTTGGAGGTGGTTGATTGCAACCAAAACCTATTTATGTATAAATTGAAATCGAAGGTGGTATCCATATAATTACTCTATTTTTAAGGTGGCTTCTACGAAAAACCCCATTTATAAATAAGTTTTTCATTTCTGAGGTGAGTAGAGAATATCTGCCTTTATCATAGAATTGCAGATTGATTATTTATGCAGAATTAGTAATGGCCGCCAACAAACCAAACAATTTGTGTTTGTTTATCATATGATTATCTGAAAGATATGTGGAATAGAAAAGAAAAATAAATGCAACATTCTATTTCACACAGGGTAGATTGGATTTGGGATTTTTAAAGATTTTATTTTCTGTAGTTGATAGTTGGTTAGAACGAAGTTATTAATTTATTTAGCTATGAAAGTCATTATTTTGAGGATTTATATTTGATGTTAACTAATAGTAAGGAATTTATTCGTTATTAGGATTTTGTTTTAGTCCTACAAACAAGGTTGTATTTTTTCATTGTGGAGGATACAAAAATGATGAATAAAATTTGAGTTTCAAGATATGATTTTGGAGTCATTCCGTAGGCCGCCAAATCTGGTTACATCCTGCTTGTGAAACTTTCCTAAACCCCAAACTTATCTTTTCTTTTTGGTTTTTCCCCTTTAATTTTCAGATTCAGATCTAATATAAGACCCCATTTTGCAAGGGGTTAAGAGAACGGTTAAAGGGGTTTAACCCCTCCTTAACCATCTAAATGGGTTAACTTGGTCAAAGGGTTAACAAATTCTTTACGGTACCGTTTGGCAAAGGGTTAAGGAGACTTAACCCCTTCTTAACCTGCCAAACACAACAAATCTATATAAGGGTTAAAGTGAGTTAACCCTCCATAATTTGCCAAACATAAAAAATATAGAAGGGTTAAGTTAACCCCTCTAGAGGGGTTAAAATGAGTTAACCCCTCAAAATGAGGGGTTTACTAATACTCCTATTTAGATGGAATAAGAGTTAATCCTTCTAATTATAAAGAAAATTTTCATGTATGCTGGTATTTGCATCTGACACCTCACTGCACTGATCCCTCTACTACTCTTGTAGCTATTGTCAAAATACTTAATACTCATGTCTACTCTAATTTAAGTATTACCTAGTTATCTTAAAATTCCCGTGCCAAAGCAGCCATGACTAGAAGGATAAAGCAATCATAAACTTTATAAGCACCAAAAATGTCAAACAATATACTGCAATATTGTAAAGTAAATCATCAGCTAGTAAACATACTAAGCGGAAACACTAGCACATTGTTCCATATCCATTCAACATAGAGTTATCGAATGCAGGGACAGTCTTGAGTCATTGACTAATTCTCTGTTTCCTTTGATCCCCATAAGTGCAGTATTAGCTGATTTACGAATATACAAGAATATATACTGCTATTCGTAAAATATAATCTTTGTCTGACTCTGAAACATAAAATTTTATCGTTTCATCAAATGAGCACTTGCTGCACAATAATATTTTAGGAAAATTTAATATTCTGCTTCAAAGAACAAAATCAGGAAATTATTTGTACAGATAAATCAATGAAAACTGTAATTATGCACCTGTAAGTTTACGATGAAGATGAAGGGGAGCTTTTTTCCGGCTTCTGACTGGTGAAATAAGGAGAAGAAAGTTAAATAAGGCTTAGTGCAACATATGATTCAGGTAAAACTGTAATATGAAAATTGAAGGTATAAAAAACATGATCATGTCATGCTATGTGCTTCTAAATGTGAAGACCTTCTTTACCAGGTAAGAGTCATTGGCAATGGACCACAGACAGTAAAAGATTAAATAGAGACAGTTTTGGCAACATAGGAATCTAGCATTGAGAACATAGATATATTAATCTTTTTCTCCATGTTTCTTCCTATGGCTGTTCATAAAACAAAGTTGGACATGATACAAGACTACTAGAATGTATGAAACTTTACTCCATCTGCCTTTTTAGTGTAAGGTATGACCCTGAAAACAATTTGACATTTACCCAAGAAACAACGGGGTCACACGTGCAAGTCTGATGAGGTAGTAGATAATAAGGGCATATTAGTTTTCACTCCTTGTGCATTTTTGAGTAAGGACCAACAGTAAGTTTGTTTAATAATAACTAAAAAAGGAAAAAAAAGATCATGTTATTTTAGGTGAGTGGAAATTACTTTAACAAAGTAGCTAAAGCAGTATAACTGTTCTCATCACTCCTTTATTCACATTATATGAGTCCATTTGGCTTAATACACTACCCATCAGATGTAAATCTATAGAAACGTGAAATGTTTAGTTGCTTTATTTTATGCGTCAAAGGTTAATACACTTCCCTGTAGTTGCCACTTTCTCTATGATCTTTCATGGTGCAGTGGAATTTAGAGGCGCCTCAGTAGTATCATGAGCTTAAACTGTGTAAAAGAAAGTCCTAGTATTCCTACCAACTGCAACCGGCTGTCAAGGTTTTGTCGCATGCTTTCGCTATTAAATATCTGCACTATTTATCAAGACTAATTTAGAAGGATTTAGATTAGTCGATGTGGTAGTAGAAAGCTTAACACCTACTTAACTATCTAGAATTTTTCATAAGTCGGTTTACAGAACATTACCAGCTACAAATGAGAATGACTTTTCTCGTTAAATGGTATTAAAAAATCAAGTAGGCTATCAGTAAACGATTAGATGTATGAATATAAGGTATGTTCTGTGAGTTGATGACATTCCACTAAGTCAACCATCATGTCTACGTCAGTGAGTTAGGAGTGCTGAGAGAACATTGTGAGAAATCTGTTTTGTGTTGAGAATATTTCTTTTAAGCTTTCATATACACTTCCAATTACTCTTATCTATTTTACTGAACATTCTTTGGCTCATAGCTAACTCGACCGAGTGTTTGGCAACAATAGATGGTTGAGCAGTGCTTAAATCCGTGTTACTTCTTTTATAGACTTTCTCACCTTTTTCTTATATCACCGAAGTTAATCTACAAACCTGAAGTACCTACAGAAAGATTAAGTTATTTACTCTTTTCAAGCATCAAGCAAACACTAATAGAAGTCCAGAAATGATGTTGCTAGACCTAGACTATAGGACAGAGAAAATTTTGATTGAAACATTTGATTGTAAGAAGTCCTTAACACTACTAGAAACCAGCTCCAGTTATAAATTCTGCACTGCAAAACTAATCAGCTCTCCATTTAGACCCCTTTTTTTCACTATGTATGTCTAGGCACTTCTGATGACTAATATCAATTTTAAGCGAGTGAATCTTTCACAAGTAGCCAAACATTGAATTTGAACTACTGTAAGGATCTGGTTCCAATATGTTTGTGTGCTGTGTGGTGTAGCTTTAGTAATCCTAGGATATAGCTAACCTAGTTATGTCATCCTAATTATGCCATTTAGATGGATCCAATCTTACCAAAAGAAGAAAAAAAATATTAGATGAGCCACTATGTATGTCTTGATCTACAAGTCATACAAGGCCTATAAATAAAAATCATGTATATTGTGCATAACAATGCATCAAATAATTAAAATAATTTAACAGTTCTGTCACGATATAATTACTGAGACCTCTTGATGCATTAGTTAGGCTATTCCAATGAGTGATCCACGTTTTTCATCAATGACTATGTATCTTAAATTATCTGTAAACGAAGATGCTTTGATATCTTAACTCTTGTTTCATAATGTACCTTTAGCTGTATGGTCACTGGACTGTTAATTTACAACACAACGTGATGCATGAGTACTTAGAACATAATATGCCTATTCTTTTAACAGACCATTCAGTACATGTAGATAAAATGAACTGAAAGTGATTGTCTGAATTGATGGCATGTCGAATGATTTGGTTATCTCGTATAAGTAAGCTAGTTATACCAACTTCTAAAATGTGTGACATGCAATAAAATTGAATGATCCACTCCATCTAACTTGATCTATACATCTTAAAAAGACCATAAATAAAAGTTCATTGTGTATTGAGCATATGTTATCCATGCATCAAGTTGAGTAAAAATTTACGGTTTTCTGACAAGACAACTAAAGAGATAGCTTGATGCATGAAGTTATTATAATGAATGATCCAATCCATTCATCATTATCTAAGTATTTTAGAACTTCTAAAATGAAAAATCTCATCAATTCGAAACTTTTAATTCCTGTGTTTTTATATTGTCCCTTCAATTGTACTATTATAAAATCTTTAATTTTACAATCACTAATGTATGAATAGCTTCAACACCATATCCCTAATTTTTGTTTGTAGGCCAGTTAAAGTATGTTGATAAAAAAGTAGGGAGTGGATAATTCAAATTGATAGATTCATAGAGCTTTGTATGAGAGCATAATCAAGCTAGTTATGCCCTACGAGTATTAATTTGTTTTCACATTTTGCTAAATGAGATATCAACAGATAGACACATCAAAACATGTGTGTCTGGGTTTCAGCATGTAAAAGTAAAAAAATACATTTTATTGCAATGTATTCATTACCATGTACTTTTTGGACGTCTCATTTGTCACGCCTTGAAAACTATAGCGGAATTTTATAAATACGGGTCACGAGACAGCAGCGATCCACACAAGACAAGTCTCGTGTATGTGTTATGTAGCTTAACTCAAAACACATACATAAGCCTGCTGAAAATAGTGGCTCAAAACAAACTATACATATATACTTATACTCATTACTTACATTCTATAACCTTACCGTTATAAATGTTTACAACAAAAACACTCTTTTTACTGAACATAACGCCACTGGAATCAAGTTTCCAAACAAGCACTTCTTAATCATGCCCACAACCAAAAATTTTAGATTATCACATTTCTATCTCAGATCTGAAAAATATTAAAAAAACAACAGAGTAAGCTAAAGCTCAGTGAGAACATTTCCTATTAGAGATCCTAGATATTTAACAAAATTCTTATAATTCTCAGAAATAGTGAATTATAAGCTTGGCACAGGATATTTCAGAAAATAGCAAAATATTGTCCAAGAATGACATACTATTGCTATAGTTAAGAAAGAAAGTGCAAGTTAAATATATCATAACGTATTCTAGAATCATGGTAACGTATTCTAAAATTAAACTCTCTTTGAAAACAAATAATTACTAAGAAAGGAAATAAACAATTAAATTTGTGTAAAGGCAAAATATCATTATTTTTCTCGGATTCACACTAAAATCTCAAAATCACAAATCTTAATGAGAACATTCATGAAATGCAAGAATCACCTCATAAGTTACACTAAGGCTACGAATTATAGCCCAGTAGCATGGGAATGCCAAAAGACATCACATAACACATAGTTCTCAGGAATAGAATGCACCTAACTCTGTCATAGACTGTCGGCCACATCACAAACGCCCAATAAGGGGCCACATCACAAATGCTAAATGACCACATCACAAATACCAAAAGGTCACATCACAAATACCCATAACGGGCCACATAAAGGTGCATTCAAACCATATGGCAGACACAAACACATCACTCCATAGTGGACTTTCTGAGGGTTTGAAAACATCAAGAATTGCTTGTTAAATAGCTTGATTCCAGAAACACATCATTTGTCAAATTATTTGATTTCAAAACACATCACTTATAAATTTGCTAGTTTCCAAAACCACATCACTTGTCAAATCATTTTATTTCAAAACGCGTCATTTGCACCAAAAATATTATTGGTATGTTCATTTACCAAAATTACAAATACTTTAAATCAAGTGGACGAACGTAAATCTCATCATCTTAGTTAAAACAGTTTACAAATTTCACTTTTCTCTATTTTTATCAAATACTAAGTCACCAGAAATCTTTGAATTCACAAACTGTTACGACATCTTCAAATTATTATTATTATTATTTTCTTCAAAAGCTTTCAAATAAGCATTATTCGCAATTAATTGAGTTTTCATGAAACCCAAGCCGCTAATCACATTTATGTGAAATCTAATTTAATTTTAAATATCTTGTATGAAATCAATTCATATTTATATGTTATGCCATAACAAACTAGATCAGATCATATTTACCTTTATATATTTACAAAATAATAAATTATTTATTTTTTGAGCACAAAATAAAATCAAATATAACACTTATGCAAATTTCATATAAAAAAATACTAGTGGGAAATGAACTCACCTCCAATAAGTATAGCTTCGTCAAACACTATTTTCTAAATATCAACCTGAACCTATAATATAAATATAAGACTAATATTAATTCAGGACAAGTACATATTATAGGATAATCACTCTAAAGTTTAAAATCAATCATATTCAAGTATACTCAAATAATAATTATCTATAAATAAGGTACACAACTACACATAGGCTTTTTGCTAATTTTAGCAATTTACTATAATTTTCTATAATATTATTCTAATAATTTTGAACATATTATTAATATATTGCATAGCTTAGTGGTTTCCCATTAATTATTCGGGCTTAATTCTTAACTAAGCTTGGATCTTTTGGGACCTGATGTAAATCAACAAAGCGACAAGGGTCTACAAGAATATTTTCTTTCCTATTTATCTTTTGGACCTATTCACAAACTAATAAACTTTCAGGGGTTCCAAAGAAATTATGCTATTTAACTAAAATTTCCTCTTTCTCTCTCCTCTATCTCTTCTTCTACCTCCGTTCTCTTCTCATTTTCATTTTTTCTCCCGTTCGTTTCTCTCTCCCGCTCTCTCTTTTCCTTCTCCGTGACTACTCCGCAGCCGCTCAAGTTCCGCCGTCGGAACGGCCTCCCAAGGGCAAGGCATCCTCGGTACCGGCGGTTAGATATGTATCTATCTCTTTTTTTCAATTCTTTAAAAAATCAAAGAACAATTTCCCCATCAATTCCTGAAATAAAAGAAGACTAATGAAAAGGTGAATTATACCTGCAATATATGATTCATATACGGCACTAGGAGCCCTAATGATTGTGTTCTCAGTCTCAAATTACTAATTATTGAAAAGTGTTTCTAGAAAAAAGGAGAGAGCAGATTAATGTTCTCATCAAGAGCTTAATTAATAACTTCCATCCACATATTAGATGATTAAGCAAACTATAGTAACTACGAGTTGCCATCTCATTTGAAAAATGAGCTACTAAAAGATAAGAATGGTGAGAATCACATGTTTTGATGCAACTAGCAGGGCGGATCTAGCCACTAGTCTATCTTAGTGCGCTATCATTCATACCCAATTTTCATGTACATATGTATATGTACACTATTTATATGTATATAAGTGTGTCTGTGTGTATGTATGTAGATGCACATATGTGAATGTATGTTTGTGTATATATTTATAAGAATAATAGGTATTATACGACAATTTGAAGTAGAAATTTTCAAACTTGAGAATTTAAAATCAATTTGATGTTGCACTTCAGAATACAAAGTCAATTGGCTGTAGAATTTGTTCAATGTATCAGCCTATACATTTTCATCATGAGGATTAAACACAATAACGACACAACA